CCCGACATCAGAGGGAGCCAATGTCCTTAACCGTGGCCCTATTATTCGGGGGAATAACTATGGGAGGTATAGCAGCTGGCATAGGAACCGGTACAGTTGCCTTACAGGAAACTAGTCTTTCAAACTTCTACAGCAAGCCATGCATACCGATATCCAGGCCCTAGAAGAGTCAATAAGCACACTTGAGAAATCCTTAACATCACTCTCTGAGGTAGTCCTGCAGAACAGACGAGGGTTAGATTTATTATTTTTAATAGTTAGAGACAGAATGGCCAAGCTTAGAGAAAGACTTAACCAGAGACCTCTGAATGAAAGATTCCATTCAGTTACAAGAGAAATAGGGGAATGAAAGACCCCCGCCCTTAGCTTTCTCTTTTAAGTTTCCCCGCGTGCAGCTGGCGGAGCGCGTGGGAAATACATCCTCCCCTGCACCCCCCGACCCTTGATCCCCACAGCTGCCACAGCTGCCGGCACTTCCCCGCCGCCGCGCAACGCCCCGGCCCCCGCCGGATCGCTCCGTCCCAAGGTCAGCCATCTGGACCGGCAAAAGATAAAGGCCATTTCGCCTGACTATTACGGTGCCTTTTTCCCCTATAAAAGGACTCCCCTTCCGGGGCTCAGGGCTTAGCCTAACAAAAAGCTAAGTCCCCGGGTGCCCGGCGCGATCAATAAACCCTCTTGCTCTTGCATCCAGAGTTCGTGGTTTCGCTGATTCCTGGGTGCGGGTCTTCTTCTACGAAAGTACCTCTTCTGAGGTCTTTCAGTATGATGGCCCATGCCTGCAATCCCAGCACTCAGGAGATAGAGGCAGGAGGAGGAGGAATTCGTTATCATCAGTGGCTGCATAATTACAGGCCAGCCTGGGTTATATAAGATTTGTTGCCTCAAAAACACAAAAAGAAGACTCAAGTAGAAGACACTAGTCAGTAAGCCAGATATGGCAGCGGGCCTTGCCTGTGAAGACCTTGTAGGAATGAAGGTAACTCACAATGCGAACCTGGCTGTAGAACATATCAGAATCCAAGTAGTTATTTTGCTCTAAATAAAACAAGCTTTAATAACTTAATGTTAACATAAAAATCGTGGCAAGTGGAACCCTGACACCATGTCCCAAAGCAGCTGAGATGTGGTATATAACGGAAGAACCAGGAAAGAACTGCGTGGTATTTGTGTTTCCTCTGGACAGCCAAAACAAGATTGCTGGGCCGAGGTTGCTGCGGCCACCATGCAGAGTACTAACCACTGTACGTTTACAGCAAGCCACTCGCCCAGCGACAAGGTCACAACACGGAGTACTACTTAGTGGTTTCGAGGAACCATACTCCCGAGTGGTAAAGATCCCATTTGGAGTCACAACTGTAAAGACCATCTCGGAGTTGCAGTCCAGTTGCCCACACTCTGCCCTTAGCCCCTGGCCCTCGGCTTCCTGGGAACTTCAGGCCGGACACTTAGGGGTGGAGGGGAGCTGAAGGAGCCTGCTGCACTGCTGGTTTCCATGCTTCCACGTGGCCTGCAGAACAGAAGGCGGTGGCAGTGGCAAGCGCCCCCCACCCCCTCGGAGATTTCTCAAGTCTGTGCTTCACGTCGATCCTACTCTTGTAGGTGGCATATAAGCCCTT